GCCCTCGCATTTGCGATATCGCATTTGCGAGCCAGGCTTCGCAAATGCGAAGCCTGCAGGCCTGCACAGAAACAGCTGAAGCCAGCAACTCCTTAAGTCCAAAATCCACCCCGTGGCCTATCCAAAACTCACCCGAGCCCTCGGGGCTCCAACCCAAACATGCACACCAACCTAAAAACATCATACGGACTCGCTCGTGCATTCAAATCACTAAAATAACATCAGCAACTATGAATTTAACATCAAAATCATGAAATTTCTCAAGAACTTTAAATTTTCCAATTTTCTCAAATACGATCTGATTCACGTCGTTTCAAGTCCGTTTCTTACCAAATTTCACTGACTTATCTTAAATCACATATAAGACTTGTACCGGGCACCGAACCAAAATAAGGGCCCGATACCATCAAGTTCTAAACATGTATCATTTCCAAAAACTCAATAATATTCCAGAAAATAATTTTTTTTAAAAATTCATTTCTCGGGCTTGAGACCTCGAAATTTGATTCCGGACATACGCCAAAGTCCCATATTTTCCTATGGACCCTCCGGGATCATCAAATCACGGGTCCGAGTCCGTTTTATCCAAAATATTGACCGAAGTCAAATTAATTCATTTTAAAGTCAAAATTCATCATTTTTCACAGATTTTCACATAATGGCTTTCAGGTTACGCGCCCGGGCTGCACGCGCAAATCGAGGTGATGTTGAAAGAGGTTTTTAGGGCCTCGGAATGCAGAATTCGTTTCTAAAACAAGTTCACAAAATCTTGGGCGAGTTTTTTTCCTTTATTTAAATAATAATTACCTACCTGGAAGGAGAGCCTTAGAGCAACAGTAAAGTTATCTCAGTGTGACCAATAGGCCATAGGTTCGAGCTTGGAAACAACCACTAATATTTGCATTAGGGTAAGCTATCTACGTTATACTTCTTAGGGTACGGCCCTTCCGTGGACCCCGCGTAAATGGAAAATGCTTTGTGCACCGGACTACCTTAAATAATAATTACCTAATTCAACTTTGGAATTTTTATCTAGAACAACAAATCAAGAGAAGCAGTGAACTAAATCCAAGTGAGATGTTATATTGATTTAATATTTTTAGATGGACTGATATTTGAAAGTAAACTCCTTTTTTTTCCTTCTAAATGTAAGATAAGAAGACAATTTTCCTGAAAATGAAACATAGGTGGCTTCAATTATTTAGATCTTAGCTTCTACTCTCTAGGATACATTATTTTTGAGGAGTATTAATTCTTGGCAAATCAAGTACAATCGAGCTTTTCTTTAAATTTACAAAGTGTTGATTAGGAGTCTCGCTAATGGCAGGATCGTCATCATCCTCAACATGGTTTGGAGAAAACCCTTTGTTAATTGCGTTATGAAATGTGACACCTTGTGGCAATATCCCAGGAATCGAGCTTCTCTTCAATTCACTAGGGGCAGGACTAACAGCATGTTCCCCCTGGCTTTGGAAAAGCCGTTGGCTATTAGCTTTGTGAAATGTAACATCTCGTGGCAATATTCCAATAATCAAGCTTCTCTTCAATTCAGTAGGGGCAGGGCTAACAGCATGTTCACCACGGTTTTGGAAAAGTCGTTGTCCATTAGCTTTATGAAACGTAACACCTCGTGGTAATATCCCAATAATCGAGCTTCTCTTCAATTCACTAGGGGCAGGACTAGCTACATGTTCACCGCGGTTTGGGAAAAGTCGTTGGCCATTAGCTTTGTGAAATGTAACACCTTGTGGCAATATCCTAGCAATCGAGCTTTTCTTCAATTCACTAGGGGCGGGACTAACAGCATGTTCACCATGGTTTTGGAAAAGCCGTTGGCTATTAGCTTTATGAAATGTAACACCTCGTGGCAATATGCCAGGATTACCTCGAAGATAAGGCCTCTTAGGTACAATCGAGCGTTTCTTCAATTCACTCGTGACAGGACTAACAACACCCTGATTTTCAAAAAGTCTTTGGCTAATAGCTTTATGAAATGTAACACCTCGTGGCAATATGCCAGGATTACCTCGAAGATAAGGCCTCTTAGGTACAATCGAGCGTTTCTTCAATTCACTCGTGACAGGACTAACAACACCCTGATTTTCAAAAAGTCTTTGGCTAATAGCTTTATGAAATGTAACACCTCGTGGCAATATGCCAGGATTACCTCGAAGATAAGGCCTCTTAGGTACAATCGAGCGTTTCTTCAATTCACTCGTGACAGGACTAACAACACCCTGATTTTCAAAAAGTCTTTGGCTAATAGCTTTATGAAATGTAACACCTCGTGGCAATATGCCAGGATTACCTCGAAGATTAGGCCTCTTAGGTATAATCGAGCGTTTCTTCAATTCACTCGTGACAGGACTAACAACACCCTGATTTTCAAAAAGTCTTTGGCTAATAGCTTTATGAAATGTAACACCTCGTGGCAATATGCCAGGATTACCTCGAAGATAAGGCCTCTTAGGTACAATCGAGCGTTTCTTCAATTCACTCGTGACAGGACTAACAACACCCTGATTTTCAAAAAGTCTTTGGCTAATAGCTCTATGAAATGTAACACGTCGTGGCAATATCCCAGGATTACCTCTAAGATAAGGTCTTTTAGGCACAATCGAGCTTTTCTTCAAATCTCCAAAGTGAGTATTAAAAGTCTGACTAGCGGCAGGACTAACAACATGTTCAGGATTACCTCTAAGATAAGGTCTCTTAGGCGCAATCGAGCCTTGTTTCAAATTTCCAAAATTGGGATTAGAAGCAATTTGGCCAATTATAGGGTCAATGTCATCTTCACCTGGATTTATAGTAATCCCTTTGCTTTTTTGAAGTAGACTCCATTGTGGCAATAGGCCAGGATTATATCTAAGATAAGGCCTTTTTGGAATTTTTGTAAGCTCAGCTTTGACTAAGATAGCTCCACATGTTATTATGAAAAAGAATAGAGGGAAAATGGAGATTTTTTGCACCATTTTGCTATTGAATTCAATATATAGAAAGAGCCACTGAAAATTAACAAGGGGAGAAGAGTTATTATATAGTTGCTTGGAGATTTGGACTTAGACTTATATTGGTTCATGTATGTGAAGCATTTATTCTATCTACTAAATGAAATAAGAATAACAGCCTTGTTAATTAAAAACAGTTTCAGTATTTGAATTAATTGTGGTTATATAAGTTGATATTTTGATAATGACAGTAAATAGGTTCTTTTTTTATTTTTGTATAAATTAATTAATAAATTGTCCTTCATTGATTGTGGCCATCTTCCGTTATGCTGCTACTTGCGTTTTGTGTATGCTGTAAGTTCAAACTTCAAAGGTTTCACATCCTTAGAAATTTGGATAAAATTTGACTCGACATAAAATTTTAGTAGGAATTTTTTTAAATAAAAAAATTCGTGGTTTTAAACTTTTTACCATCAAACTTTTTTATAATAATTTATTTTCCGACATTTTTTGGCTATTATATGAATAAATGTTATACACCTGTAACATCGTTTAATAATTAATTGCTTTTTATAGATAAAAATTATCCAAATTTTTATTTTTTATTTTTTTAATATTCCATATAAAAAATTAGTCAAAATTTAAAATCTCAAAAGATATGTGTATTTTACTAATTAGATATCAAAGAAAGATAATACATTATTAATAAATTCATAATTAAATGTATAATGATTTGCTCTTATGCATATATTTTAAAGCTATTTGAGTATTAAATTCTTTTAAGATTGATGGAAAACCCTGTAAGTGTATATTCTAGTCTTTTACCGGTGGTATAAAGCTTGAATTGGTCAAAATTTGTATCCAAACTTTCAACAAAAAGATATCTAATAGTTTTCCCTCGAAAGCAATCTAATTGTTTAATAGTTATATCTTCTATCTCAGTCTAAGTAGCCGTTGGTTGCGGTTCTTCATCTAATACTTTTTTTTGTGCAATGCAACCAAATTATACAAGCATATCTTTTCGTGAATTTGAATGAAAACTTTAATTATTGAAGTATGTAGTGATATAATATTCTTCATCATAAATGGAATTGAACTTTCAAAATATTTTGTTAAAATTATTAGTAATCTTAAGCCCAGATGCTTCGGCAGGAAGGTGTGAGCAGCTGGTTTTGGAGGGCACGAGAAAAGGTAGAGGACGGCCTAAAAAGTATTGGGGAGAGGTGATCAGGCATGACATGACGATGCTTCAGATTTCCGAGGACATGACCCTTGATAGAAAGCTATGGAGGTCGAGTATTAGGGTTTTAGATTAGGAGATTGTTGAATCTTTCCTTACTTCGTACCTTTGCGAGGCTAGTCTGGTAGGGTTTTTGTCAAAGTCAGCTAGTGGTAATATTGTGTCTTATTACTCTTTTATTTTTCATAGCGACAGGTCTATGTACTGTCTATCGCTTTTGCTTTGCATCTACTTCTTCGTGATGTTATTTTTCTTATGTTCTCTATTGGTGATACCGATATTGTCTCTTTTCGTTTTCTTGAGCCGAGGGTCTTTCGGAAACAACCCCTCTACTCCCTCGGGGTAAGGGTAAGGTCTGAGTACACACTACCTTCCCCAGACCCCATTAGTGGGATTTTACTGAATCGTTGTTGTTGTATAGATTCTACATGACTGTCATAGATGAGTTATCTTACAAAGAGCGTATTATTATAAAGATAGATGTTGCTTTTATAGGTAAGAATTTATTATCGAGAGGTAAAATATAACATAAAAATCGGTTTCGAAAAGAACTTGATTTTTATAATAAAATATTATTATATAAGGATATTTTTATAGCGAAATCTGATTGTTTAATATTCTTGTGGCTATAAAAGTTTCTTATTAAGAGTAAAATAAGAAATTAAAGTAAGAGTAATTTTAAATATAGAAATTCCTGATTTTATTTTTGGAGTATTTCCGCAATTGTAAGAAAACTGAAGGGTCTCACTGTGAAATTTAAAACTTTCCCTTTCCTAAATACAAAAACACAGAACTTTTGCTATCAAGTCCCTGCGTCAGTGCGTGAGGTACACGAGTGAGAAATGTTGAGAAGAAAGCCAAGCAAAATCGAAGTAAAAATCGAAGATAAAGAAGAACTCGAAGAAGCTCGCAAACGCGCCGCCTCCATCGCCGCCGCTTCCTCCTCCACCACCAGTACCACCACCGGAGCCACGTCCCTCCTTCAACACTTCGATCGCTCGGCCGTTGATCCCTCCACCAAATCCCACCGTATCGGCCTCAATTAACACACAATAAATTAATCTGATACGAGGCCGTTTTTTATATTACTTTTTCGTTAGCTGTAATTATGGAGGTTGAAGTGAAGCTCAAATTGCCGGATTCAGCCGCACACCAGAAGGTTCTCTCGCTTTTCTCGCCGTATCACGCTAAAACCCACCACCAGCGCAACACTTTCTTCGACGGCGCCGCCGGCGAGCTGAGCTCGCGCCGGACCGTCCTCCGTCTCCGATTCTACGAGAATTCGGATAACGTGAAGTGCTTCGTGTGCCTCAAGGCTAAAGCCGTAATTATCGACGGTGTTAGCCGTGTGGAAGAGGACGAAGAAGAATTCGATCCGAAAATCGGGTACGAATGCGTTTCTGAACCGAAGAAACTGATGGAGGTGGAATCTAGGGTTTTGAAAAGGGCAAAAGAGGAATTTGACGTTGCGGAGGGAGGGTTTATTGGACTGGGAGGGTTTAAGAACGTGAGGAATGTGTTTGAGTGGAATGGTTTAGAGTTGGAGGTTGATGAGACTATATATGACTTTGGAACTTGTTATGAGATCGAATGCGAAAGCACGGAGCCGGAGAAAGCTAAGGCGATGATTGAGGCATTGTTGAAGGAGAATGACATTGATTACAGCTATTCACAAGTGTCAAAGTTTGCTACTTTCCGGGCCGGAAAGTTGCCTTAGTAAGTGACTGTTACCTGTTTTGGATTAACTTTCTTATTAGATATTGCTGCATTTTCTTTGTGGTGCATGTGCCCATGATCTGATGTAATGTTTGATAAATTAGGGAATAAAATGAAATTTGGAAAGTGTCGCGCATGTTTGGTGTTAAAAAGTAATTGGTCAATGTTAATTTCAATACAATGAGTTAACCTCAATTAAGTTTACAATACATTATTCTTTGTTTCTTACCAATAGAAGGGAACCATGTGTAGCTAAATATGATCGGAGCTTATTGATTTTGCTGCTGCATCTTCTATGTGTTAATTCTGATTACATGTATTCTAAGCGTGTGTGTGTACATTTGTGTAAAGTCATTTTTGACACGTGTAATCTGATGTAGTAATGTTTGATAAGTTGTGGAATAAAGTGATAATTGGTTGATTTCGATCCCATACAGAATTTGCTGACCTTAATTAAGTGTCCAATACACTATTTTCTGGTTAACAATAGGAGGGAAGCATGTGGAACTAAATTTGATCAGAGTTGCTGATGGAAATGTGGCATAATCCATTTCATAGTCCATACCAAATCCATGTTTTGCTAAGTTATGGATTAATTAGGACTTTGCACTATACAGATTTAGCAAATCAAATAATATAGAACTATTGCAAATAGACTATTATAGACTATCATTGTAAATGACCTTTTCTGCCTAACTCTGAGACTGAGTGAAAAAGTTCAAATCTGTGCATTATAGTAGTTCAGATGGTTTTAGGTTTAAATCTTTGTAAACATGATGATACATCATTGTCAAGATAATATGACTGTTTGAGTAGTAATATTTAGGCTGTAAACCAGGCTTACCTGAACCAAGACCTTTAGTTCAAGAAACTTTGAACCATGGTGGTCCTCCTTCACCTGCATAATATCAGGTTTGGGTGCCTGGGAAGTCACCCATTGCCAAACTGGCTTCAGAGTTAGATCTAAGATTTTAAACCAATGAATGACCATTACTCCTTTTTGATAATGGATGCAGACTCGGCATAGGTATATGTATATTTATGTACGTGTGTGTATCTACACACATACATAAATTATAAATATATATTATGTGTGCTTATAATAGTCTGAGATGAGGCATACAGGCTGTCAGGAAGATGTATTAGTCTGAGATGAAGCATACTGGCTGTCACGAGGCGGATTCTCCCACGACTGGTTATAATGTCCACAGAATTCTAGTATGACTTTCATTCTTATTTTGATAGATGGACAATACTGTTGGATCCGTGGTTATCCTGTATTTGTAAATAATGATTCTGGAAATTAGAACGTTATCTTATAAACGTAAATTTAAATGATACAGAAATTAATTCGAGCCAACTTATTGTTGAGTTTTTGTTTAAGATGAAATAGTCTTAAAATTAGAGTGAATGGGAAATGGGAAATGGGAAATGGGATTTGGATTTGGATTTGGATTTGGATTTGGTCAAATGATCGATCGATTGATTAATTTTTTGGACCAAATTTATTTGTTAATAGTGAATATTAACGTGATATAATCCGTGTTTGTAACGGATGTTTTCCAATCCGTGTATTGTGTTGCAACACTAAGAAATAAGCAGCCTAGTGCACCTCCCACAATGGTGCAAGTGCTACTCCCACCAAGCAAGTGTACATTCCACCATGTAAGTGCTTCCTCCATGATAGCCTAGTGCTTGTTGCACCATGGAGAGGGCGGATTTCTCTCAAATAACTGCTATAAATAGAGTATAAGTTGGAGAGAAAGAAGAACACATCGGTAAAAACACTCGAAACACTTTGTATACACTTAATATACACTCTGTATACATTGGATATCCACTCTGTATATACTGGATATACACTCTGTATACACTGCGTATACACTGGAAAAACGAATTGCAATCTGATATTCTCTTCAGTAAGAATTCAACATTGGTTATACTTTGCATTCCTTCCTCTCAGAATTTCCATTCGACTTCTGAGTTGTCCTCCTTATTCTGCATTGTTTTTAACTACAAACAAAGCATCCACAAGTGTGATTTGCTGCCGAACTTTGTGTTCGCTGAAACACTGGGGTTTGAAGTACCGCTACACCAGTGTGTAATTCGTTCTATCATGAGAGAAAATAATCTATAACCTTGGGTCCTAGGAGGGGATTAAATTCTTTAAGGAAACACTGTGAATTCAGTGGGCTCGAATTAATTTCTGTATCATTTAAATTTACGTTTATAAGATAACGTTCTAATTTCCAGAATCATTATTTACAAATACAGGATAACCACGGAACCAACAAGCTTAAGGAATTTAAGAATTTTAATTTCTGCTTTATTTATATTTACGTTTATAAACTAATGTTCTAATTTCCAGAATCATTATTTACAAGTACAGAAGGAACAACAATTGGGGGGCATTATTTACCAGTGTGTTTCCTTAAGGAATTTAATCCCCTTCTAGTACCCAAGGTTATAGATTATTTCCTCCCAGGATAGAACGAATTACACACTGGTGTAGCGGTACTTCAAACCCCAGTGTTTCAGCGAACACAAAGTTCGGCAGCAAATTACACTTATGGATGCTTTGTTTGTAGTTAAAAACGATGCAGAATAAGGAGGACAACTCAGAAGTCGAATGGAAATTCTGAGAGGAAGGAATGCAAAGTATAGCCAATGTTGAATTCTTACTGAAGAGAATATCAGATTGCAATTCGTTTTTCCAGTATATACAAAGTGTATACAGAGTGTTTCGAATGTTTTTTCCGATGTGTTCTTCTTTCTCTCCAACTTATGCTCTATTTATAGCAGTTATTTGAG